AAAGGTTTCAGCAAACATTTTCTGAATTTTTTCAATGTTAAGCAATTTAATACTCAACGACATGTAGGCATTTGTATACAATTTGGCAGTGTTCTATTAAGTCCAGCACCCTCATTGATATTAGTCTTATGGTAGGCTTATTGATGGGTCATAGATAATTACGGAACCGATTAGGGATTAGAATGATTTATTCTCTCGTTTCAGCATTAATGTCACTGTTCTGGAAAGGAAATGGCTTCATTCCTTTCTCATCTTGGTTAACATCAGGACTTCCCTCTCAAAAGGGTTTCAAGCTATGCAAAACCTATCCTAACGCAGACAAGGTTTGTTTTGTTTAGACAAAATGCATAATTTTACGATTATACTTTTTATTTAAAAAGCATGAATATTATTTCATTATTGGATGTTATCACTTTGATTAATGTTAGTTTGTGTATCAGTACAGACATGTAAAAAATAGTCATTTCACTTTAAAACGACAACAGACTATATAGACCAAACATCTTATACAAAAAAACAATAATTGAATACAAGAATCACTTATTAAAAGTCATTCATAGATTAATAACTGAAACTAAGAAAAAAACTATATATCACATTAATGACATATATCAATATAGATTTTTTTCCCAATTTGACAGAAAAAAATTACTAAAAGATTTAATTAGTATCAGCAATATTGGGTTTACTCACAAAGCAGAACTAACTACTCTTAATACTTTATTATCAACAAAAGAACTAGAAACATTATAAAATCATTTGAAAGATATAAAAACTGGACTGATCTGTTTGTCTTTTCTAAGAGATTCTTCCATATGTTACTTAGCAGAGACAAATCGACTGATCTGTTTGTTTTTTCCATGAGCTCTTGCTTATGTTAATTAGCAGAGGCATTATAAAAATGTTTGAAAGCCTTAGGGCATATTTTCTTTATATATACACTGTAATATATATATATTTTCTATATACATATACTATAATATACTTAAGCGTTAATATAACACTTAAATATTTTAATTTTAAGCAACATTTTGATGCCGAATATCACACAGAAAGGAGTAATTATGGTAAGTGGACATTAAAGAACTGGTCCTTTGCAGACATAGTACAGAAGTTTTTGAAAAGTACAGTAGTGGGTAGTACATCATATGACAGTGTAATGTACTAACTACAATATAAATATAAAAACAATATATATACAATATATAAACAATATAAAAACTATATAAAATGAAAATATTTCATAAATAATTTTAAAAATAAAGTAGTAAAAATATATAAAAAATTTATTTAGAAATAAGTTTTAAATAATTATGAAAAGCTTATAAAATATATACACTGAAGTGTAGATATAATTGTTATTTGTGTTTTTAGATATATGTGTGGGTTCACTAAAATAAAAATAACTGTGTTCCTTAAATATTTTTGCTTAAAACTAATTTGTTAAAACGTTTTTAATAAAAACTTTTTAAAAATAATTATATTAATTAAAAATTTTGAATATAAATATTAATTTTATATGGAAACAATTAAATCAATTTAGTAATATTTAAATGAATATATGAAATAAATACATTTTAATATTTATAATAAATTTATCATGAACTCATGTATTTATTAGGATTAACTAAATACGTATTTATTTTATACTACGAGAATGCACTTACTGTAATGAATAGTTATTTATTATTTAAATTAAATAAATATATATGTATTTATAATATTGACTAAACTAAAACTCATATATTTACATTAAATATTAAATGATTTATTTGTTATTTAATGATATTTAATTGGTTATAATACACAGATATACACATAATTAACGCTATTATGCAGAGTGCCAAATTACTATGTACAGTATATGCATATTTATATATATAAATATATATATACATATCATATGTACAGTGAATGCATAGTTTTTGCAAATTGTTAACTCAATCTAAGAGTATTTAAATATTCATTAAAATTATTTTAAATTATTTTAAATGATTTTATTTATTGAAATGCAGTTATTTTGTTTTTTGCTAAGTGCTTATTTATTTAAATTTTATTGAAATAAAATTTTTATCATTTTCTAATAAAAAAACTAAAATATTTTCTAGTATAAAATTAAAAACGAGTTGCATTTAAAGTTCAAGCAAAAAATTTAAAAAATAAAAAAAAGATCCAAAATTCATGACAATATTTTTTATTCTATATTTTATTTGGAAACTTATGCGTGCTCTATTTTTATTTATATTTTTATTTTTACTTGAATTTTTATTTTTATTTTGGTTCCTATTTTGGAACTTCACATTTGTATTGGGTTAAAGGTTACAAGGAGTGGTTCACAGGAATGTATATGCTAAGCAGCGTGCTAAGGATGCTTCAGCAAATATTAAAAAGGCTGGAGGAACTTTTTCGATGTGAAAACTTTTCTGATTTCTTGCGCCCTTGCATTTGTATTTTTTGTATTGTTTATTCGAATTTTATAACTTTTATTTATTTTTTTGAGATATTTGTGTTTAGTTTTTTGCGCTTGTAACTTATGTTGTTTGAATTTCAGCTTTCAGCTTTCATTTTGCAGATTTTTTATTTTGTTTGGTTTGCATGGATTTACAGCACTTTCATTTAGTAAATGAAAAATATGGAAATAAACTTCTAAAGTTGCTCCAAAAAACAGAAAAAAAAAACAAAAAAATATCGCAAAAAATTTCAAGCTACATTTTCACTTCTTTCGGTCTCATAAATTTCCGAATAATGTTTCTGTAACATTTAATATTTTTTTCCGAAAACTGCAACTGAAAAATAGAAAATTTATATCAGAAGTAACAATATTTTAAACAAGTTTTCGCTATTACGGTATTTTATGTTTAACTTAGAAGTAGCGATTTCAGTTGCTATTATCCATTAACTAATCAGTTTCAATAGAACTACATCTAAAATTCGTTATTTTTTAACGGACTCACAAAAACTGTAGCTTTAAATTTTTAGAAAAAATATGATTTACTTTAAAGACTGCCCTACTTAGAACTACCCAATCTCAGAGTTATCACTAACCGCATGGTGTGGTACACAGATCTTAGATCAGTCATTGAATAATCACGAAACTTATGAGAAATACACAAATTAGGCAAAGAGATGGGTGGGACTCTGCAAAAACCCTCTAACTATCAAAGAGTAAAAGTGCCCAGACGCACTCGGAAAAGGCTTGGATTATGATAACTTTAATATTTCTTAATTTATAAAAAATGTTCAACCGGCCACAGAAACGAAAAATTTGTCAACTGTTTTCTGTTTATTTTCACGTACGCGTGA